CCTCCGCCCGCGCCGGGAAGGCCTGCCGCCCGAGCCCGCATCCGCCCGCATCCGGAAGCAGCAGTGAAGGCGCCTGCGGGGCGAGCTCTGCGGGCCAGCCTGGGACCTCCCCAGTTACGTTTTATTCTTTATAAAATCCTAATTCCTGTATTTGAAATAAAGGATACAACTATAACTACTTCATTCCAAAGGAATTAAGGCAAACTTACATATTAATTCATTTTAATATCATAAAGTTAATTCCTCTAGGAAGGGATGCTAAAATTTCCACATTAGGGGGTAGACTTAACTTTCCTGGGGTCACAAAATTGGGGCAGAACTGGAACTAGCACTCGAGTCCTGGGTGTCCTGGCCTCGTGTTCTGCAGATGCCCTGGCTTTAGAGTTTGCCAATGAACTCAAGGGATGAGTTACACGGGAGGTGGGAGGTGGGAGGTGGGAGGCGGGCGCGTGGGAAGGGGCGGCTCGGGGCAAGGGAGAGTCCTTAGGGAGACCTCACTGAAATGCAAGTTTCTCAGAATTTTTGAGGTTTTTTTTTATGTTTGTTTTGAAATTTTTCTTTCTAAAAGTAGTACATTTATTTGGTTAATATCAATTATTTGCTCAATATCAAAAGCATTGTATTTTTTTTTAATATGTAACAATCCTAACAAGAATATAAAGGCCCCAGATTTCCCCTTTTAGAGGACTTATAAAATAACAATTATTTTACACTATAAATAGAGAAACATGGAGAAAATTTGAAAATGAGAAAATTATAAAAATTACCCAGACCCTACCACCACTCTGACCACAGTAAACACTGCACTATAAATTTTTATTTTTGTGTACATTCATTTTTAAAAAACAAATTTGGGGTCATATTGCACATACAGTTTTATGGCTTGTTTTTCTCAAAAAGCCTTGTAATGTAAGCATTTTCTCAAGTTATTATTCTTCAAAATGTGTGGTTTTCCCTAAAACAATTAACTTTTTATTTAACAATAACATCTCGCATTATATTAAACAATACATACACGAAAAGGGTTAATGCTTAAATTCCCATTTTCTTCAGTTAATATGGGAAATATTTTTATGTGCAGTTATATATATATATATTTGAAAGTGAGAGTGATATTCAGGAAAATCACAGATTTTCCATTTTATGATTTTTAAAAAACCTTTTTCTGACTAGACATCTCCAACAGACTTAAGACTGGATATGAAGTTGCGTCCCTGGTATTTAGACTGAGGATCAATAAATAATGAATGATCTTGGCATTATTATTAAACTGAGCACAGAAGGAACTAAAAATTATGGTTAAAAACAAAAACACACAATGTTTGATGGCTGCAAAACCATCACTACCATGTTAACACCACAATTTCCTTAACCACTCTCTCATCACCAGATTTTAAACTATTTCTGATTTTCAACTAATATATGATTACTTTCATGTTGAAAATCAGTGTATGTAAATGGATGACCTTATTTCTGAGATCCCTAACTGCAGGAAGAATAGTCTTAAGGTCCGTGACACCTACTGCCAAACAGCCTTCCTTCCAGAAAGTGCACGAATTTATTCTCCTCAACCCAGCAGTGTGCAGAGCACCCATCTCTGCAAACTCTCAACAGCGTTACCTATCATCGACAAGTTTCAGACTGAACTTATAAAAAACTGAAATCTAACACGCGCCTTACAAGTAATGCTTAAAGCAAAGCAAATGAGACCCTCAAGGGCAGGGGCCATGTTTGATTTATTTCAGGATTCTCGGCCCCTGCCTCTGGGTCAGGCAAGGAAGACTTGCAACAAATTTTGGCTAAATAAATAAATACAGACGTAGAGTCACCCTGGGACAAATGAAAAAAAATTAGACCCTGGGCCATCTGACTGGGAGCTCAAAGCATTCAGACACTAGGACTTGTCCAGTCCAAAGAAAGAAAAGCTGGTTAATATCAGAAACTAAACTTGGCAGGTAATAAAAAGACAATTACCCAATTTTAAAACGGGCCAAGGATCTGAATAGACATTTCTCCAGAGAAGATATGCAAAGGGCCAAAAAGCACATGAAAAGGTGCTCAATATCAGCAGCCGTCAAGGAAATGCAAATCAAACCCCAGATGTCATTTCACACCCACTAGGGTGGGCTATGCTATGACCAAAAAGACAGACAACAAGTGTTGGGGAGGATGTGGGATCTCCACATTTACAATCTCCAGCATTGCTGGTGGGATTGTAAAATGGTGCAACCACTTTGGAAAACAGTCTGACAATCTCGCCAACAGTTAAACGTATACGAAAACATATCCACACAAAAACTCGTACCTGAATTTTCACAGCAGCACTATTTGTAACATCCGAAAAGTGGAAACAACCTAAATGTTCACCAGCTGATAAACTTATAAACAAAATGAGGTTATCTCCATAAAATGGAGTATTACTTGGCAATAAAGGAAGTTGTGCTACAACGTGGAACTGTGAAAACAGTATCCTACGTGAAAGAAGCCAGTCAAAAGACTACACAGTGCGAGGGGGAGGGTATAGCACAGAGGTCCTGGGTTCAATCCCCAGTACTTCCATTAATAAATACATAAATAAATAAATCTAATTCCCCCGCCCGCTCCCCTCCCAAGCTCCCCTCCCAAAAAAGACTACATAGTATATGACTTGGTTTTTCTGAAATGTCCAGAACAGGCAAATCTATGAAGACAGGAAGTAGATCAGTGGCAGCTCGGGGCTGGAGCACAGAGGGGGATTGGAGGGTGACGGATAAGGGGTGTAGGTTTCTTTCTGAGGTGATGACAGTGTTTCACAGTGATGGACACACACTCTGAATATACTACTGAATATATACTGAATATACATCACTGAACTGTACCCTTTAAAAGAGCAAATGGTATGATATGTAAATTTTATCTCAAAAAAGCAGTTTAAAAAAAACAACCTGGGGCTAACGTAATCTCGATAGAATTTTCACATGTACAGAATGTGGAACTCTGAAAACCCCACTGATCAGTTCCTGAACTGTTCCGCCACCTTCCCTCCCCTGCTCACAGGCAGGGAGACCCGAAAGGGTAGGAAGTAATCTGGGAAAGCACTGGTCTTCCCCCCATCACCTCATCCCTCGGAGTGTGAAAGAACTTACAACTGCTCCTCCAGCGGCCAGGGGATCAGCTTGACAATGCAGTGTCCTTGAGACCAGGCAAACCAGGAACCATCCGGGGAGAAGGCAACACTCCAGGTTTCACAGCTCGACTTCCAATCAAACTGGTGGGGGCGCCCGGGCTTGAGTTCGGCCAGCAGCAGTGGTTCCTCTGGGACAGGAGACAGCATGCTTCAAGTAAGCGCCCTCACTTCCCAGGAAAGGGGAGAGCCAGGCTCTGACCACCTTGCTGACTCAGACACAGGAAAGCCACAGTCTCCCCACGGCAAAGAGGGACGCTATGGATTCCGGGAGGGAGTTGTCATTTAAATGACCTGGGGCAATAACAGTAGCCACAGGCCACATTCCAGTGGGGTTACTCAGTTCTGGCACTCCTGACTGCTGGTCAACCATGACTCAGAGTAACCTTTGTGAGGGTGACCTGGTGGATGGAGGCCTCATTTTCCTACAAATACCTAAGAGGAAGCGAGGACACAGACCAGGCAAGAATCACGCTAGACGGTGCAGACTAGCAGGTCTTCAAAGAGAACCTGCCACTGGGAAGCCGGGCAAAGGAGGAAGGTCTGAGAGTCACAGGCTCCCAGTCACTCACCAGCACCTGCCCCATCAGCAGGACTGACACGTTTGGCGCTTGCCCTGCTTCCTGTCACTCAGACCTCCTGATCTGTCTCCCAGGTCCATCTCCTCTCTGTTCTGGCTTAAACATTCACCCCATCTTGCCCAGATCTTTTACAAGGCTCTCCTGATATGCTTTCCCTGCCCCCAGGGATGCCGCTAAAACTGAAACACACATCACATCATGGTAGTTCTTTCAAAGACGTTCCACGGCTCCCACCTGCCTACACAATCAAGGCAGCTGAGCCCCGGCCTCCCACCCCACACCACCAGCCCCAGCCCCTTTTCCCTTACGGCTCTCTGCCTGTCACATGCTGGCCACACATCGCGCCCCAAGCAACTCATTCGCGTTCACACCTGGTCCTATTTTCTGCTTATGAGAATCCCACCAAGATTAGCGACTGAGAAGTGAACCCAGATCTCACACTATCTAAGCGGAAACAAGTCCCACCCTGCTTACTTCATTCTCTCCTGTAGTAAACAATTTCCCTCTGTGCTGTCTACCCCTCAGACTAGAATTTAGGCATCCTTCTTCAGACGCCCGGACAATTTAACCCTTGTGCTCTTGGGGCCTAGCACGGTGGCCTGCGAAGAGCAGGGGCTGGGCTGGCTGGTGCTTCCTCCTGGACCTGGAGGGCAGTCCTGAGGTCAAGTCTCTACTCTGAAGGGAGATTCTCAATGGCTGACAAACCTTCTAAGCTGAAGGCCTTCAGAACTGATTTGCTGACCACTATGATTATGACACACACTAATATAAAAACTGGCTTCCCTCCTGAAGGAGGTCACTGCCTGATGAGTATGTTCTACTTTAGCAGTTCTGAGACTGACCCTCTTACAGCTGCTCCCAGATAGGTACTAATTTAAATAGCTATTTCGTGTATTTTAGGACATGTCTTCGTAAGTCTTCTTACAGTTTGACCTTGTTGAAATCAGGCTGTGTCAAGGGGTGACTTTTCATAGTTTAAAAGGCAGTATTTTTTCAGTGATACAGAATGGCGATATGACCCATGATACCCCGATTCAGTGAAACAGATGGTAAAGATGCAGACATGTATATAATATTTATGTGTGTCTGTATGGAATGTTTTGGGGTGTACGCATTATAGGAAAATACGTGAGGTTTTAGGAAATCAGTGTATTGCTGAGAACTGTCTTTAAATAGAACTGTACTGTAATAAATCATACCAAGCTTTTGTGGCTTTGCTATTCAAAGAAAATTTAAGGAAGTTTCCTTTGTAAAGAGAATATTCATTCCCTGAGTTTCTATATGTAACTTTAGGTTTTAATATGTCAGGTCTGTCTAAATGGCATTTCTACAGGCCCAGGTAATTCCTCCTAGAAAATGTGTATGTGTTGGCACATGCGATTCTTTTATTTAAACAGTTACTTGTCCATACGTGCACACTCCTCTGGATGCGAATAACTGCATGCTAAGAAGTTACTTCATATTTTAAATCCAAAACAGGTCTCTCAATGTTATTCAGCAATCATGTGGTATTTTCTTTATTCTCATTATTTCTAGGTATTTTCCTAAGGTGATAAAGCCCCACTTTGTTAATGCCTCCTTCATGTAGTCCAGTGGCTCTCAACTGGGGGCAATTTTGCCCCCTGGGGATATGTGACATTTTGGTTGTAATAACTAGGGGCAGTGCTACTGGTAACTAATGGTTGGAAGCCACAGATGCTGTTAAACATCCTGCAGTACACAGGACAACCCTGGACAATGAAAACTCAAAATGTCAACAGTGCTGAGGTTGAGAAACTAGATGTAGTCAAATATTAAGTGACACTGACTGATCTGGGGGTACATTTTCATCACTTGCCCTGGGTGAAAATTTCTTTGTTCCATCCTGATGATACTCACATTTAGTTCACTTCCCCCACAGCAAGCACATTATCCATCCTTTGATACCATGGAGGCTCTACACAATATGTAAAGGGGTCACCCTTGCTTTCTCTTTTCTTTACCTCCCAAACCAAATCCATTAACAAGTTCTATTGAGTCAGCTTCCAAAAGACTTGGTAGACCTAACTTCCTTCCATCTCATGGCTGCTACTTGAACCCATGCAACCTTGTCCCATCAACATCATTTTATCTAACCTACACAGCGTCACCTCTCACTAAGCAGCCTTTCAACCGCTCTCCCAGCTTCCTCTTTGGCCCCCATCACCCATTCTCCTCACCTCTCAAAGCGATCGGTTTCAACAGAATAAAATCCCCACCCTGCTCTTGAAGTCCTGCACACTGGCCTTCTCTCATCCCTTGACTGGGCTCAATTAGTTATGACCACAGGGCCTTTGCACCAGCTATTTTCCTGGACTGGAATGCCTGCCTGCCTGCCTGGCACCTTCTCTTCATTCAGGTCTCAGCTCAAATGACAACTCCTTAGAGAGCCAAGTCGATGTTCTTCCTAACTCCTCACTTTATTTTCTTTATAGCACAATCATGATTATTAACCATTTCTCCCCTTCAACTAGGACATCAACTCCACAGAGCAGGGACCTTGTACATTTATCCCCAGTGCCTAGCAGAGTCCCCTGCAGAGAGCAGGCAATCAGTAAATATTTGTGGAACAAATACACATGGTATCCCTCTTTAAATATAAATGAAATGAAGCCCTTTTAACTATTATGGTGACTTTGCCAAACATTTCACACGAAATGCTTCTTAAACATAAGCCATACCCAGATTTCACACTCTATTTCTGTGATTTGGGGATTTAATCTCTTGGTATTTCAGGCTCAGGAATCCAAGAACTAAAAGAAGAAAAAACCCAAGGAACTAAAGAAATTCTGAAAGGGAGTCTGGGCCCAAACTAAGCTTGCCTGCTGGAAAAGAAAGCCATAATTAGTGCAGAACTTTAAAAAACAAAAATAAAAAACAAAACAGAAAGGATCCTGCTTCATCTGGGATTGTACTTGCTCTGGCCTTTCTTGGAGAAAAGGTCTATGTATCAGAGTTTTCTTTATTTAAATATTTTATTTATTTATCATATTACTTATTTTAGTTTGGCAGGGGGTGGGGGAAGTTATCAAGTTTATTTTTTGAGGAGGTTCTGGGGACTGAACCCAGGACTTCATGCACGCTAAGCACACATTCTACCACTTGAGCTAGACCCTCCCCCAGAGTTTTCTAATTAAACTTTGGGATGTGTTTGGAAAATCAGGCCGAGTGGAAAGATACATTTACTCTGGGCCTCTCCTCTGAAAGGAGACTAACCTTAACATAGGGATGGAAGCTATGAATGACCTTCACTGGCAGGAAGCCTGGTGATTTGTCCTGCCCCAGGATCTTTACATCAGATGATCCATTAGCCTAGAAAACTGCCTGGCTGGCCCCAGATCTTCGCTTGGCTGCTGTGTATCACCTTTCAGGCCTCAGTGCTGATGTCACCTCCTCAGAGACCTATACGGCCTCACCATCCAAAGTGGCCCAGTCACTTTCCTTTCACTCCACTGTCTTTTCTTTATAGCCAGCACACACCCACCTTTTCTTGATTGCTTACTTGTTCCTTTTATGTGACTGGTGTCTCTCCCCAACTCCAAACTGTTCACTGCTACTGGGCTGAGCTGTCCAATATAGGAACCACGAGCCACACGTGGTTACTAACCTTCTGAAGTGTGGCAAGTCCAAAGTAAGATGGGTTGTTTGGTACATACTATACTCTGTATTTCGAAGACTTTGTACCAAAAGAAAGAAAGAAAGAAAGAAAGAAAATCTAAAAATTTCCAGTAATTGTGATTGCATGTTGAAATGATAATATTTTAGATATGCTGGGTTGACAAAGATATAATTTTACAATCCATTTCACCTGCTTCACTTTTTATAAATGAAGCTACTAAAACATTCTAGAACATTTCAAATTACACATGTGTCTCGCATTATATTTCTATCAACCAGCAATGGCCTAAAGAGTGCCTGGCACATAGTAGATACTCAATAAATATCTGAATGAATAAATGCATTCTAATCACTGCTCTGAAGATTTCTGCTGTTGTCCATTGTAATCACATTACAATGGGCTGTTATTCAGGTTCAAAAGAATGTAAAACTCTGGCTTTCTTTTTTTTTTTAAACAGGAGCTTGGCAGCTCTCAACAGCTCTGCCCACACCCAGAAACACGATCGTCAATCATCAGAAAAACCCAGAACTGGAAACAGATTCCTGCTAAAAAGGGAGGCTAGCTCCAGATCGATTTCAGATTTAACTAAAAGGAGTCAATGAAAATGACAGCGGAAGCTATAAAGAGATTCACATAAGATTTCAGGCAAATAGTAGGGGCCATTTAAAAAGCGTCTATGGATAACACACTCACTGAAAAGCCCTTATCTAGATGGGAAGGCGGAGAAAGCTACCTCTACATCTTTTACTGAATGTCTGACTCCAGCCAACAAAGAAATGTCATTTCCCAAATTAAAAAGTTACACTACCCCAGGGAATACCCTGATTTCAACCTGCCCATCTGCAGCCTCTGCTCCATCAAACAAGCCAGGGAAACACAAAATCACCCACAACCTGTATCCTCTAGACCAGGATGAAGCTTGAACTTCACTGAAAGAACACAAAGAGGTTCTGGAACAAATTCTGAGCCTTAGGCCTTGACCCCTTCTGAGAATTTCCCCTAAGGTAAACTGCCTTTAAGCATGGGAGTATATTCAAGAGCTGGGACTCCCAGAATAAATCACAAGCTCACTCCAAATTTCTACATTAGTGGGGCTCAGGGACAAAGCGGTTGGAAGGGAGAAGTCTGAAGGACTTGAGGTTGTGCTTTTGCATAACAAACACAACATTCCCAAGAGACTGCCTGCTCATTGGGCTGACCCTCCAAGTATATCCAATAGTGTCTGCCTTCCACACCGTCTTCTGATGACAGCTGTTAACAAGGGTAGAGGCAAATACCTCACCCATCAGTGCACCT